TGTAAGTGAGAGATAATAAATATAATAATAATAATAAAATGTCTTTATCAGAATCACAACAATAAGGTGAAGTTTAGCGAGTTGGCTACTCTAACACACAAACCTATTATATGAGGAAATATTTACAGGGTGGCCAACTAAGATTGCGAGGTACTGTATTTGGGAACTTATCATTCGTAGAGGTTTACGGCATGGAAGCAGACTTCCTCTTCCAATCGAGCGCTGTTGAAGTACTGCATTAATATGCTCTCGCATAATAATAGCAAAATATGCTGGGGAACCATCCAACTGATAAAACAAACTTTGCAGTGTTTCCAGTGGCACCTATTCCAACAGCAACTGTAATTGGTTGTCTAAAAAGTCAGGAAAGACATTGCCATGTAGAGATTGCTTGAAAAAATATGGCCCAATAATTCTGCCTCTCAGTATGCCACACCACACATTTAAACTCCAATGCTCCTGGTGCTTTTATGCAGACCCATAATGCATATTGTGCAGATTGACTATCCCGTCACTATTAAAGGTGGCTTCATCGGTCCAAATAATTTGAGACAAAAATTCTCTACTTTCGCGTATCATGCTCAACATCAAAATCCACTCTGTGATAAGTGAAGCACTCTTACTGAGATCTCAGCTAAATTATATTTATTCCAATCATTGGGAAACAAAACTCACTATAAGAAATATGGATACTTGACTGGCTTCAAAGGTTGTGTGGAATGAAACTGAGGAATGAGAGTCTACTGTGGTAAGATGTTTTAGGCGAGCATTCAGAACATGTACTATGATAGTAGATTACACAGCCTGCATCCTATTGCTGAATCATAAAAATGTCATTAGACAACATACTTTAATAGAAATGATGCAGTCAAATATTGCTTTTTGTTGTTTTTGGAATTATGAGTACAGGAGAGATGTCCTTTGAACACTATACATCTGGTTCAGCAAATCCAAAGAAAAGCTCAGCACTTTTTGATTGAAACTGGCAGACAGCATATTTTTAATTCGTATGTTGAAAAAACTAATTACTGAGCAATAAATTTAATCGGGAATTTCTAGCGATAGATATTTTCATTGTCGAGTAGTTGTAACCTTCTTATACGATTTTTTTTCTAATTTAGTGTGATATTTAGTCTTTTAAAATGATGTAAGATGTACTTAATGCCATGAATTCTGATTCTGCAAAGAGAAACAATCTTGATTGCATGTTGCAGAAACACAATACCTCAGGCAAAGATCTGATGCCTGTCATAAGCAATTATTTAAAACTACAACAGAAATCGCCGACAGCCTTTCACCCCTGTTCACCTAGGTAAGCCCAATTCACAACACAAAAGCGATAATAAACCGTTCTTTCTCTTGTTTCTACTCATTTGTATGCGCTGATAGTCGCAGTTGTGTAAACGCTAGGCTAAACAGTGAACCCTTATCTTCGATAGCGACCGAGGTCTAAGATTCCATCGCTAGTTCAAACCTTCCATTATGGTAAAATGTCAATCAACGCCACGGTCACAGGTATGAATAAAACAGGCTTTTGTCACTAAAAAATTAACTTGAGGTATTTTTTGAATCAAATAAATCTTGAATCTTAAACGCAAATGTACGGCAGAATCTATGTATGAACTAGGTCTAATAGGTACGTAGAATTAATGTGCTTATAAATACGATAAGTACTTGCCTCACCGCCCGATGGCGCCACTATCGCAAGAGAAATTTACTATCGTGCCGAATGGGACTCCCAGTTTTGTTTTGACCACGTGTGGAAGCGGGCGTGTCCGCGAATTTTAGAAAAATGGAAAAAGAGCAATATCGGTCGGTTATCAGATTCTTGTTTTTGGAATGGATATCGCGCAGCGAAATCCAAAAACGCTTGAATGCTGTGTACGTAACACCTCTCCTGCTGTCAATTCAATGATAGGTACTCCTATTAAAGCTAGCTAAGACTCCTATTTCTTCAAATACAGTTTCTACTTAAATAATCAATATTGCGAAATCTCATTTGCCTAGCCACTCGTTTGTTTTTGTTTGATGTCACAGTGAGAGATCAAGTGTCAAGATTCCTTAATAACCTCACCGCACGCAGTGGTTTTGAATAGTGATCTAGATCTTTCATCTGGTGACTAGCCCAATCTTGTGAACAGAAATGTCTTAGTACAGTCCAAGGGAGTATGCTCAAATGCATTGTATTTATTGTGAAAGTGGTGGTACTGCCAATCAAGCCGCAGCACTTTGTGGGGAAAGGTACCCTTACGCAAGCCATCTCGATTATAGAGTTTTTATTCGTGTGCACAATGCATACACGGAAGGTCGAATTCCCGGAACTGGTGTCGACGGTACTAGCTTTGGGAGATCATCGCTACATGATGTAGAAACCGTGTTGGAAGAGATTGCCGCTGATCCAACAACGTCAGTGCGAGTCATATCGTGACGAACAAGCATCTCTACAAGGGCAGTACAAAGAATGTTGAAACGGGAACGGCTACACCCTTATCACTACCAACGAGTTCAAAATCTACAGACTATCCACTTAGATTTGCGTTTTATGTGGACACACGTTACGGAGAATAAGAGCCAATCCTGATTTTTTTAACTCGATCTTATGGAGTGAGGAGTCAAATTGTACAAATTATGGATATGTAAATATGCATAACTTACATAGTTGGCAGCTAATCAATCCCCATTTAGTAAGAGAAGATTGGTCTCAATATCAATTTGAAATAAATCTTTGGACTGGGATTTTTAACGGACAAATTATAGGGTCATTTGAACTACCACCGACCTTGACTGCAGAAAGCTGCCTTAATTTTTTAAGTAATGATCTCCCGACATTACTTGAAAATGTTCCACTAGAGCAAGGAATGAAAATGTGTCTGCAGCACGATGGTTGCCGTGCGCATTATGGCCAAAATGTGCAAGAGTATCTTAACGAAATGCATCCCCGGAGGGGGATCGAGCGCTTGGGAGCAATTTTGTGGCCACCAAGGTCACTAGACCTCAACCTTCTCGACGTTTTTTACTGGGAAGTCTTAAGAAGAAGGTCTACAAGAAGCCCATTAGTTCAGTGAAAGAGCTACTTGCGCGGATACAAACAGCTGAAAGAAAAATCAGCGAAGCCGGATTCACGCGCAAAATCAAACAGTCATTATTAAAAGAATCTGCAGAGCTCGTGGTGGTCATTTTGAACACTTAGTGTAAATTTATAATATGTTTATATTTATATAAGTTAGTCAGTATCTTGTATTAAATTATTCTGGTAGATTTAACTGCAACATTACTGATGCGTTTTGTAAGTCTTGTAATAAATTTGAATATTTTGTGATCCTTTTTCTAATATTGATACACTCTTCTTTTATGCCTCAATATAATGTGCTAAATCAACAACAACAATGGACTTGAGTTAAACTTTTCGTTGGAAAAGTAGGCGTCCCAGCTATCTCAGTAGGAGTATCATTTGAATTGACAGCAGGAAATACGGTGTATTGTAACCTTTTGCAATCTCAATGAATTAGGCAAATTATCCACGTCTTGTTTCACTAAATATTATTGACACCATACGTGGGCAAACTTAAGAGGAAAAAAATGTTTTTTTTTTCGAGTTTTATTCATTTTTTAAAAAGGTATTAAGTCTGTAGTAGGAAAAAATATCTGACACATGTATTGAAAAAATGATGGGAAAAATCTTCATGTGTTATGACGAGACTTAAAACAGCGAGTGAAGGGACCAATTTTCGTGCAACTTTTACTAGACACAATTTTCAATTTTTCGAATCTTTATGATGTCCTTTAACTGCAGGTTAAAGGTTATCCACTCTTTACGCCTCACCCTGTATAAAGATACTAATGCCAAACAATTTAATTTTTACCATACCCATTTTTTTACTCCTAAAAGCAATATTAAAAAATAACCGGTAGTCAAAAACCGAAGTGTGAGCGATATTATTTCAGCGGTTTTCCCCTAGCTCCGCCGCCCCTGGACCGCGATATCCAAAAACTACAAAGATGAGGTTCCATTATTTATTTTATAATATCTGCATACATTATCATTTACCCCCACCGGTCAGAAGAATCTTCCAAGCAGTAGACTTCGTCACTATCAGTCTTATCACCTCGAAAATATTCATTGTGCGGCGTTTTTCCGAAACGAAACCCGAAACTCGTTATGTTTACTGTAAATAACAATTTCGATCACTAATACTTAATACTACTCGATTTACAGAAAAATGTAAAACCGGTAGTCGCGATCAGTGCGAAATTACGTTTCGCCTGTTTCAAATCAAGGCTAACTAGGATAACTTCCAAATAGACATCGCTAGGGGTGCCACGGGCGACCGGATGGAGGCGAAACACTTCCCAACGCCTCATTTTTTATGACTGTACTTATTACAGTCTAGGGCGCTTAGGCATCATAAAATCAATGTTTTGATAGTTTGGTGGTTTGGTCTTATTAATTTGTATTGCACAACAGAAATAGACATACCTAAATGGCATAACTGATATGTGGCTGGAGATCGTGTATATCTTCATTGATACATGTTTTTTCACCTTTTCTTTTACTTTTCCGTAGTGCTTCTCAAAGTTTTCGAAAAAGTAACGAAATCATAATGTATAACTTTGAACATAACGTCTCTTCAGAAAAGACAACACAAATAACCTGTCTGGCACATCTGATAGATATATTTCAATAGCTGCATACTCAGTAATAATTTTTTCACATAGCAAATATCACTGATTTTATACACACAATCATCCAGATGTGATCTTGTTACTCTGCTACTTAACCACACATCTTGTCAGAATATACTCGACAGACTACCTTGGCATGCGGCAACCAGCAAAGCATGATGGGGAACTGACTTGCAGCTTGCATCCTGGTCATTGAGTGTGTCGTGTCGATGAGCCATTCCTCCATATATGAACGCTCACAGCGCTCATAGCTAGCAAACGCGAAATGCACTACTTGCACACTAGGAACTACCTAGGCAGCCACTTGACATTTTGGTGTTTTTTTTGACAATTTTTAGGTTTCTTTAAGTAACAGCCCTGCCGTTATATTTTCCTGAAATTTGATACGCCTACCTAGCTTATGCTACTGAATATATGATACGAAGAGGTAAAGATACTAAAATGTTTGTGAACTAAACCCAAACGAAACTCATGTTGCGATCCTGACGACCCGACCCCTCCTTGTTAGTGTAGTGTATGATTTGAATGAACAGCTTATCGCAAAAGTTACAATTGTTACAGGAGAAATGGTGATCAGCAGCTCCAAGTATGATGTTCAAACGACCAGTAAGTCAGTCTTCCATGTCAGAATGACCGTTATCGTAAGGCAGCTACAGCGAGAAGATGTTGGCAGTTACAGATGTATAGCGAAGAATTCCTTAGGAGAAGTAGAGAGCAACATCAGACTTTATGGTGAGCAGAAAAACAACACTAGTCAATTTTCTATAAACATAGCTTTGAGGACTTAGATCTTATAAATTATTCATACAAACTTCAAATATGATTAGTATAACCCTTGGTAGTTTTCTTAAATTCTTTTACATCTGAAGAAGGATAGCAGCTAGTTCTTTTTATGTCTCTCTCATACCATTCATGATAAAATAGAGTTGAAGTCATCGATATGTTGTTTTCTTCTAATTGGCACAGTTAGAACTGTATGATTAATAGCTTTTCGTGCATGCGAAAATCATACATCGAAGATCTGTATTGTTTAAGAGCGATTTAAAGAATGGCTTCATTGTGTGACGCAAAGGTTTTCATAGAAAGCTTAAAGCAAAATTTCTCTAAAGTATCTCGCATGTCAAAAGTTTCTAAGATCTAATTAGTGATCTGAGCAAAATGAAAGTATGAAAAAAATATTAAATATTGATAGGATACTAGCTGCAATGTTGTTATTTTATATGGTAGTGATTTTATCAATAAACAGAACTTAGTCATTCGAAACGGAACATAAACTGGTGCTTTGCAACATGGGAAATTTTACCCCAATTCAATCTTGATATTTTCGGAACTGAAAGATATATCGAGTTTCGGTATTCGGGAGGTCCCTGACCAACTTTTTGAGAACACATACAAAGTTGATGGGTATATTTATGTAATTTATCCACTTATGCAGAGTGAGCAAAGGAAGTCATGTTTTTTAGCAAAGTTTGGGGCTATGTCAGATTGTTGATCTTGGAATTTTTTCTATGCATCTTTTTGATCTTTGGACTATCCTGAAAAAAGGAATATCTCAAATTTTTCGAAAGTTGACTATAACTCAAGTTATCGAATTTTAAAGAACTTTTACATTTATCCCTAAAAAGGGTTTCTCTTGAGAATGGGTAATTTTTCTCATACTGTTGCATAAAGTGGAATTTTTTGCGCCCAAGAAAAGATTGAAGCACTCATTGAATTTTATGGCCTCCAGTGGCGTGCAGAAAAAAATTGCTACTTTGACCTTATGTAATTTGAACCGAATTTATAAATTTCACTCTTAACATAGGAGTCTATTCCAGTGGCGTAACAGCGGAAACATTTTTTTGTTGGGTAAGAAGTGCCAGTACCTTGAAAATATTTATTTTTAAAAATGCTGTGCTGCTGGCCAACACTGCTATTCATCTATTATCTGGAATTTTTCACCTTTCTCATTCAGCATTGACGTAATCGTCTTCATTGGAGATGTTTTACAATAGGTAATAGACACTGTTACGTTTTTAAACATCAACGAATTTATTGATTAACATTAACAATATGTAACATTTTAGAAAACAAAAATTGGAAAACCGCTTGAATACCTAAATTATTTATTTATGATAAAAACAAACTTTTTTACAAAGCAGCAACAGTTATTTTAAACAATATTGTTAGTACCTTGTAGGGCAACCCCGCACATCGATCACACCCTGGCATCCCCATAGCATACTTACCGAGGTTATTAATAAATTCTCGAGATACGTTTGAGAAGCATTTTGTCTTGAACGCACTAAAAATTTTAGCCGAGACCACACATGGTCAATTATGTTTAGGTCTGGGGACTTTGATGGCAGAGGCTCTAATGTAACATTAGCATCTGCCAAAAAGTTTATAACCGTACGAGCTCTGTGCGGACTGGCATTATCATCAATGAAGACAAAATCCTCCCCAAAATCTTGTGCAGAAGGTACAACAGTATTGTTTAAAATGTTGTCCCTATAAACTGCAGCATTGCCTGTCCTGTTTGAAATACCCCGCACGTCAGTCACAGCCTGGCATCTTCCTGTCATACTTTCCAGAAGGTTAATCCTCGGGATACGTATTCCCTCCTTTCCTAAAAGGCCTCAGACAGCCCTTCCATTGTCTGAGGAGCAATTTGTCTTGAACGTACTAAACATTTTAGCAGATGCCAAAAAGTTTATAACCATACGAGCTCTGTGCGGCCTGGCATTATCATCGATGAAGACAAAATCGTCCTTAAAATCTTGTGCAAAAGGTACAACAATATTATTTAAAGTGTTGTTCGTTCAAACTGCAGCATTGACTATCCTGTCTGCAATAAAAAGTTCGGTTTTACCATTTTGAGTAACCCCAGCCCAAACAGTAATCTCACCTCCACCAAACGCCTCTTGTCGAGTTAGGTTTTCTTCATCATATCGTTCCCCAGCTTGCCTCCAAACAAAAACCCTACCATCAGAGTGGTACAGGTAAGAGCGTGCTTCATCGGAAAACATGCAATTGTACCACTGCTGATGCCAATTTACCCGCTCCTGCGCCCATTGGTCGGGCGCACTAGGTGCGACGCCTTGCTCTGGAAGAAATACGGCTTTAAAAAAGTACCTAGCAATTTTTTTATAACATTTACATGCCTTAACAAATTAGAGTTTAAAGTTCTTCTTGCACTGCGATTGAATTCTATTATTCTACTGTGCCGCCGCTTTCATTCAAGGTTCTGAACGAAAGGGTCCTCCTTCGCCTTACTTCCTGCAATAAATGACCTCGTATTTCTTTCGGATTACCTCCTCCATGCAAGTAGGACGTTTCCTCGGTATCCTGATATCTACGCCTTAAACGGTATATTCAGGACCGATCAACATTATAAATTGAAGCTACGTCACTCACTAAGCGACCTGTTCCCAATGATCTTATTCAATTTGCTCGTTATCTTTGCAAAAGGCGAGTCATTTTTGAGAAAATAAAATTATACTGTCAAGTCTACACTCAATATTATAGTTACTTAGCAATTGCAAGTTTGAGTGTAGGGAGTTAGGTTGAAACCGGGGTCCTATTTGCATGAAGAGGGTACTAAAGGAAAATACGAAGTTGAGCTGAAAGACATTTATTGCGGGAAGTTAAAAATTTGATAACTTGAGTTCTGGCCAACTCTTGAAAAATTTGAGATATCTTTTCTTAGGATAGTCCAAAGATTACAAAGATGCATAGAAAAACTTCAAAAAACAGAAATTGAGAATCTGACATAGCCCCAAACTTTGCTAAAAAAACATGACTTCCTTTGCTCACCCTGCATAAGTGGATAAATAAAATAAATATGCCGATCAACTTTGTTGTTGTTGTCTTTTCAAGGGGTTGCTCAAGAACCCTCTGAATACCGCAACTCATATCTCTTTCCATTCCGAAAATATCGAGATTTGTATTTGGGTAAAATTAGCAAAGCATCTGTCCACCAGTTCAATTGAGAACGCCAATCAGTATCAATGAAATCACTCCAGCTTTTTGAAAATATTCATGAGGTTGTGATCAACTGTTAGATACATCAGGCCCTCAGGATATAAGTTTATCGATAACATTATTTTTTATAACCTTCTAGCAGCTTTCCTCCATAAATTGACGCTCCGGCTCATAATTATCCACTCTAGTACCGATATTCTTGGGATAAAAAAGTTTGTGACAACCTCTAAGCAATGCAATCCGGTATCTATCACAGGTGCCGTATAACAGTTGTTGGTTCGATTCTCCGCCTCGGAAGTTAATTTCGAGCCATGGATGTTATGTTGTGTGTTGTCTGTATCACGCACGTGGGTGTAATATTAAAGATGTGTACATCCCATTGCTGAAGCTGGTTTATTATATCACTTAGCAGTAAATGACTCGTGGATTAGTACCGTGTTGATATTACGGGGTCGGCAAAAACGGTCAAAGGTGGCCTAGTAGCCAGGTTTCTCCTTCCCACCACTACTACTAATGATCACTTGGGTGATAACAAGTATTATTACTGTAAGTTGGCTCTCACGAGGTTTTGTTTGAATTTTAACACGTGAAAGCTAAACTAAAAATATCTGGTCCACCATATTTCTATTTTTATTTTCAAGTCCGACAACGCACCACCTACCTATCAAATAGCGATGGATATCTAGTATAATAATAATCAAAATACCCCATATCATTCAACTCTGAGCGATATGCAAACAGAGACGTATTAAGAGCGGGTGTTCTGTGGTCGCATATTGTGGAGGATTTTCCGTTGGTTCAATTTCTCTAACGATGCTTTTTTGTGATTTATTGTAGTAGTTAGACAGATATTTTTTATCTGAATTATCAGTCAGTTAAAATATGTATGTGAAGTTGGATTCTCATCAGTGTAAATAATTCTGAATACGGTCCTGAGTTTCACCCGATTCATTAGTGCCAACCTCGTTGCCAACAGTACAGACCTGAGACAAAGATGCCACTAGCTGACCTGTATAGACGTCAACACGTGATAGTATCGTGGAAAATGGTGTATACGCATTATAAAAAATGGCGTCAAGCAGATTGATTCTGTACTTCCCTCGAAATTCTCAGTAATCAGTTAGATTTATTTAAAAAACACATATGTGTTGCGAGGGAAGCCAGCAGTGAGGTTACAGTCAAGTGGATTTTCTGGTCTAACAACCAGGGGAGGGCAGACTGTGATTCTGTAGCGAGATTCAAGCTTACCATCGCTTTAATTCAACATGTGTTTGACTGATAATGCTCCTAAATGGCGTCTGACAATACTTTTTGTATGACCTGGCTGTATTGCTTCACATGTTCGACGTTTTCGTTTAATTTTCGTATATTCCTGTCGGATAGCCAAACGACAGCAATCCTACGTAATGTAATGTAATGTGAGTAAACTAAGGAAACCTAAGGGAAATGGGTCCATGAGTACATCTACTTGCATAGCATCTAGTCTAACGCTAAAATGCTGTATACAATAGGTAATATTATGCAGTAGCTATGGGTCAAATGTGTTGGGCATACTTTGCGACAGAGTAACTCAGTTAAATATTTGGGAGTATATCCTGATGAGTATCTATTATGGTCTAACCATGTAAGATCATGTTTTGAGTAGACTAACTTTTCGTCGTTTCACGATTTGACAACTAAGCATGGTGGTTGATAAAGATATTCTTCAAACCTCCTATTTTGCACATATTCACTCGGTACTTAGCTTTTGCATTATTTACTGGGGAGTA